TAGAATAAAATTAAAGCTGCAAAATGTTTTATATGTCCCTGACTTAAGCATGAATTTTTTATCAGTAAGTGCTGCAGCAAAGTTTGAGAATTCTACCATATTTGAAGGGAAAATTGCGCTGATAAAAGACAAAGAAGGCAACGAGATAATAAGGGCAAGACACGAAAATGGTTTGTATGTTTACAAACATAGTCTTGATCAGGTTCATATGCTAAATAGTTCTGATTCATCTTCCATAAAATGGCACAATAGATTTGGCCACCTGAATTTTAAGGATTTGAAATTGCTTAATGATAAGCAACTGGTGCGTGGTATGAAAGTTGAAAATGTACAATTAGAAATAAATTGCGATACATGTAATAAAGCAAAAATTTGTGCATTGCCATTCCCACAGAAAGCGAATCGTGTCTCAAAGCAAGTACTGGACTTAGTACATACAGACGTATGTGGTCCGATGAATGTTAAGTCGCTTGCAGGCAATCGATATTTCGTAACTTTTATTGATGACTACTCACGCAAGATATTTGTTTACCTTATGCACTCAAAAAGCCAAGTTTTTGAAAAGTTTAAAATGTTTAAAACTTTTGTAGAATGCCAAACAGGAAATAAAATAAAGGCTGTGCGCAGCGACAATGGAACAGAGTATGTGAATAAGCAATTCACTGAATTTTTGATCGAGTGCGGTATAAAGAGGCAATTAACAGTTCCTTACACTCCGCAGCAAAATGGTGTGGCCGAACGTGCTAATCGGACCATCGTTGAAATGGCAAAAAGTCTTCTAATTCATTCAAAGCTTGAAGAATTTTTGTGGGCAGAGGCTGTTGCAACAGCAGTTTATTTGCGCAACAGATGTCCCACAAAAGCATTAGATGGAAGCACACCATTTGAGGTATGGAAGGATCGCAAGCCATCAGTACAGCACTTGAGAGTATTTGGCTCGCGGGCATTTGCACTCGACAAAGTCAGAAAAAGCAAGTTCCAAGCAAAGGGCAAGGAGTACATTTTTGTTGGTTACTCCTTTACAGCAAAGGCATATCGCCTATATGATCGCGAGAAGCGAACAGTTATTGAAAGAAGGGATGTCAAATTCATTGAAGGTGAGTTTGACATAGCAACAACTGATGCATGCAGTATTTCAGACAGAAACACCTTCACGACGTACATTATCCCGTTTGAGTCAAATCATGAGGTTGCAAAAAACCACCCAGAGCAACCTGCCGAGGTGCAAGAGTACAACAGTGACTCAAATGAAGAAGAAGAGGAGGATTTTGTGAGCGCAAGCGATCCAGGAGAAGATGGCAACGATGACGACAATGACCAAGTAGCGCTGCCACAAGTTGAAGCTGTAGTAAAACATGGGCGTGGCAGGCCAAAAATTATACGTACAGGTCAGCCAGGCAGGCCCAGAAAGCAGTACCAATTGATCAATAGTCTCAATCAGATTGAAGACATTGAAACTCCGCAGTCAGTTGCAGAAGCATTACATGGCCAAAATGCGCAGGATTGGGAAAAGTCTATGCAAATAGAGTACGACGCTTTACAAGCAAATGAGACATGGTCAGTGTGTGAGCTACCTCCTGGACAAAAGGCCATTGGTTCAAAATGGGTTTACCGAATCAAGAGAGATAAAGATGGTAATATTGAAAAATTTAAGTCTCGACTAGTTGCACAAGGTTGTGGTCAACAATTTGGTGTCAATTACTGGGAAACGTTTTCTCCCGTAATTCGATATGAAACCATTCGCATGTTATTCGCAATAGCTGCCGAAAAAGAGCTGTATATGCATCAAGTCGACATTTCAAACGCATACTTAAATAGTAAGCTTAATGAAACTGTGTACATGAAACAGCCGCCGAATTTTATTGACAAGCAGCATCCAAATAAAGTCCTCAAACTAGAAAAGGCACTTTACGGGCTTAAACAATCCGGACGAGTTTGGAACAATACGCTCGATGAGGTATTGAGAGGCATGGATTTTAAAAGATGCAAAAATGAAGCATGCTTATACGTCAAGCAAAAGCAACAACAATTCAGCTACATCGCTGCCTACGTCGACGATTTAATCATAGTGTGTCCCAGCGAAGAAGACATAGCCGTGATTAAGAAGAAGATTGCATCAAATTTTAAAATGCACGATGGAGGCCCCATTAGCTATTTCCTAGGCATGGAAATCCAACGCGACGGCGATCGAGGTTCCGTTTCGCTGTGCCAGAAGACGCACATTCAAGGCCTATTGGACAAGTATGGCATGAGCAATTGCCGTCCAGTAAGCACACCTCTTGACCCAGGTTTTCAAGTGGACTGCAACGACGATACTTGTGTAAAGGTAAATATAACGCAATATCAGTCATTAATTGGTTCGCTTATATACTTAGCAGTTTTGAGCCGACCAGACATTTTGCATGCTGTAAACAAATTATCACAAAGAAATGCTAATCCTCATGGAGAACACCAGTCTGCAGCAAAGCACATTCTAAGATATCTTGCGGGTACAAAGAATATGAAATTAGTATACCGTAAAAATGGCAAACCACTAAAAGGCTATGCAGATGCAGATTGGGGCAACGATCGGCTGGACAGGAGATCCTATAGTGGCTACGCATTTTTCCTGGCAGGCAGTGCGTTCTCTTGGACTTCATCAAAGCAAAGCGTTGTCGCATTGAGCAGCACTGAAGCAGAATATATTTCTTTGTCCATGGCTGCCAAAGAAGCAGTTTATCTACGCAGGCTACTTAGTGAGATGGGATGGTCAAAGGATACAGAGCCGTTGACTATATGTGGCGACAACCTAAGCGCGCAACATATTGCGCAAAATCCAGTCCATCATAAGCGCACTAAGCACATAGACATAAGGTATCATTTTATACGTGAAAAGGTACAATGTAATGATATTGCATTAGAATACGTACCTACAAATAATAATGTTGCAGATATACTAACAAAATGTTTAAGTAAGCAAAAGCACGTAGGCTTTGTAAAAACACTTGGATTGAATTAAATTTGTTATTTTGCAACTGATTATAATTAGCTTAAGAAGAAGTGTTAAAATAGTGACAATAAGCTGTTAAGCTTCTTTATAATCTGGCAACATTGTATCAGCATAGTACTCATTCTGTAATTGAGTACTTGTTCAGATTTTTGTACTCATGCTTTGCAGTTTCCATTAAACATTTAACCGAACCACTACGTGTGTTTTCTTTATGTGCATCTTAGGCACACTAGAAATTTCCCAACAGTTATTAATAGAAATAAATAAATATATATAACTCGCTTTAAATTAACTTCATTTATAAATAATATAAAATTAAATTAATATTTTAAGTAAATTAAAAATATAGTGAAAAAAATATATATAATATAGTTAAAATATATCATTAAAATATTCATTATTATTACAATTTAAGTTTTTCTAATATTCATATTATCATATATATGAAATTTTTTTTATAGAAACTTTTCAAGTAACTTCAAGTAAATTTATTTTGCTTCCAACAAAGTGTCTTAGACTTAAATTATATCGATTAAAAGCAGTGCGCAAATATATTCAAGTATTTAAATCAGGCAGAACATTTTTAATGCTGAAAAATTATTTTCCAAATAAATGTCGAATGCAGCAATTATTCTTAAAGCCTTGAATAATTTTGCTTTTAATTTAAGAAAAACAAACGAATTTTGATTTGTTCAATTAAAAAAAAAATAAAGATAGCTTAGTTTAAGCTGAAATTATTTTGAAAATTTGTACCAAAGCGTTTAAGAAAATTACGGAGTGGAATACCAAATGATATGGGGTTCAATGCTCTATTTGTTACTTCGTATTTCACTTTCTATATATTGTTCTAATATGCGTTTTATTTTATTTTTTTTTTTGCTTTTTTGTTTTTTGTAATTTGAGTTAGACACACAGTACTTGGGCTTAAATTAGTTAGACATATAGGTGAATATATCTTATTTAGGGTTGGGTATCAATTATGCTATTTTACATGATGTAGTTGCAACAATTGTTTACAATAAGTTAGTTTATATTTAGCAACGCTTTAAATTTAGGTTTAGTTTAGCTGCTTCTTCGTGTTTGCTTTCTTTCGGCTGCGGTTAGTGTAGCTGTCTTTTAAGGGTTAGGTTTTTTTTTTGATTTTTTAATGGGCATATAAACATTAAACAGAAGAACTCTTGGTTACAAGCACAATTCATAATTGATGAGTTTTTCTATTTGCTGCTGCTGCTTCTTCATTTTTTGATATGTACAGTCTGCAATTGTGGGAGCTCGGAGCGTGGCAATGTGGTGAAGGAGGGAGGGAGGGGGGGGGGGGTGGGGGGAACTTGTAGCTCTCGTTGAATGCAAATTGCAAAAGATGCGCGTTTTTTTTTGCTTTGTTGTTTTGTATCACATTATTTATTTATATAGGTTTTAATATGCAGTATGTTTCGTTTTAGTATTTAGTATTTATTTAGTATTTTTTTCGTATAGGTATTTTCTATGCATTTTATAAAATACAAGTACAAATTTGCCACTTCAGTTTTGGGTTAGTTTTAGTTTGTTTGCCTTGCTGTTTTTCTTTATGCTTATGTTTAGATTAGCTATTTGTGTAGATACAAGATACAAGATACAAATTCAGTGGCTTTAATTGACTAGACTTTTGCGTGTGTATTTCACTATTATGTGTGTGTGCGTGTGTGTGTGTGTGTGTGTGTGTGTGTGCGTGTCTGTCTGTCTCTGTGTATGTATCTGCATAATTTTTGTCTAGGGTAATTAAGATATTGTTATTTGCTGACATTTTTTTATGGTTTTGTTTGCTTATAAATTGCTCTTTATTAATTGGCCAATAGAATGTATTTATTTATGTATTTATTTATTTATGAACTAGAGACTAGGGCAAAAAAAAAGTTCCTCTATCATCTCCGCCAAAAAAAAAAAACACCACACTATTACGTACATTTATATATAGTTTATAGTATAGATACATATGTATATGCTTAAATACGCTTTTAATTGTTTTGTTCGTTTTATTTATTTTACTTTTATTATATTTTTGGTAAATTTTTGGTTACTCAGTTGCCAATTTATGATTTACACATTAGATTCAAATTCGTTAGATACAATAATTTAGAGTCGTTCGCATTGATTGTGTGCGCTTTGCCATCGCACTGCACGCACATGCAAAACCCACTTTATAACAAAAACCCCACTCGTTAGCCCCCGCACACTCCGGACTCCAGACTCCGCAGTCCGGACTCTCCGACTCTCCGCACTCCGGACGCCGCACTCCAGTTTTGCCAGCTCGCTGCCGGATTAGCCAGGAGCCAGGCATTTGCTGCATAAACATAAAATAAACATGGATAAAACAAACTCAGATAGAAAACTGCAGTGTTTTTGCATTTGACAAATTTGTGGCTATCCTATACCCTGCAAATGTCAACGCAGCTTCGGCTATATTGGGCTATCTATAACTTTTAATAATGTGGGCTCTTTATTTAACTAAAAAACATTTACGAATTTCGTATATTTTACTCAATCTGAGTTTGCTTGGTCTAAGCTGGGTATGCTGCTTACGTGATATAAACTCTATGTCAAGATATATATGTATGCTAAAAAAGATGAAAACATAAGGATAGTAGAGGAAAGGACAAGGAAAAGGGCAGGATATGATACGCGAGGATGCGATAGGATAAGAGAGAATAGAAGTGAATAAACAAGGATAGGATAGAGAGAGTAGGATAGCATAGTATAGGACAGGATTAGATAGCATAGGACAGGATAGGATAGGAGAGGAGAGAATAGTTTAACTGACGATTAAAAGAAAGAATTGCCCAAGTTTTGTATATAGTTACAAATTCTTCAACCTAAACTAAAGATCAGCTACGGCATTCGGCGGAGACATTCATCTGGAAGTTCAATGCGGTTGGAAGAAGATTTTTTATAAACTAGAAACAACTTTGACCTTAATATGGCATATATGTTTTTTCTGCCGTAAGGCTTAAATATTCCGAATTTTGCCTCTTCTAAAATAATCGATTCCAGAAAAAGATAAGTTTTAAAAGTAATAAAATCGCAGTCAAATATTAAGTTATTATTGGATAACTCTGCACATAACTATTTTATTTTAAAGCCAAGAAGAGCGTACTGCTTAAAACCTATCTAATATTACCCTACATACAGAAACTAACCTCAAAGAAATGTATCTAATCAAACATAAAAGGAAATTTGAAGAGGAAGAGAGAGTTTTGTGAGCCTCTTCGTAAACTATGCTTAGCAGATGACTGAGCACTGAGCGGAAATAGAAAGAAAGCTGTAAGCTCTTATCTTTAGAGGACTTTCATAAAATATCAGATATATCTGCATAAGTCTTTATTGAAATTAACAATCTAATTATATTATATAATACTGGTTCATGAACCGAACTGTTAACTGAATCTAGTTCAATTTAGATTGAAGGCTTGCAGCCCTGGCATTTTGCCTGGCTTGGCATAGCAGCAAATCAGGCTTACTTTGCTTGCCACGCTAGGTCAGAATGTATTTAACATTTGTGAGTACAGGGTATCAGCACGTCGTGTCGAGTCGCCTGGCCTGTCTGTTTGTGCGTGCGTGTGTGTGAAAGAGTCTGTTAACAACAATAAAATGCTTCGTTGTCATAGCTCAGAATGTACATCGTCAAGCAGATTGATGCTCCGGCAGGCGGGCAGTCGGGCCAGGCAGGCAGGAAGGCAGGAAGGCAGGAAGGCAGTCGAGACTAGAAAGGATATTCGAGTGCACTTGAATGCCTATGCGAGCACTTCACATGCCAACACACACACACACACACACGTACACACACACACACACGCAGACATGTTGCCAACTATATGAAGCCGTTGCCATGACATACCGCAGCTCCTCGAACCGCCCCTTGCTCTGATTTATGTGCAAGTTGAACTGTGTCCTGTGTCCTGTGCTGTCCTCGATGGCAGAGTTCCGGTTTGGGCTCAAACGCAATCTGCTTGAATTGTGCGCTGGCTGTTTGCCGACACCAAACACTCGCGATTTGTTTGCACTTATTTTTGATTCGATTTTGCGAATACGATCGCTAAAGGATACTCGAACTTGGACTTCGAATCGGACTTCAAGTGCACGCTAACGGACTCTACTCAGACTTGAACTTTTATTCAGGGCTCCAATCGAAGCAATCAACGTAGGTTTCTTTATAAACTCGGGATCTTAACTCGAACTCGGGCTAAACCTTTCCCCAAGAACTCTCATCCCAACGACAGTCGCTCGACCTTTGACTCGAACTCCGTCTTAGACATTATTTAACTGTTTACTTAGGATCTTAGCTAATAATTCCCAAGCTCTCCCTACTAAGTACTTAACAGACTCACGACCTGCGCCTTGATTGACTTTGCTTGCAATTAAAAAATCCTGTGCTTCGACTTGGACTTCTGCCTGAACTATTACCAGATTGTTGGCATTTAACAAACATTGAACTGATAGCTATGGAGCTCTTTCTAAGACCTTGGCCCTTAAGTGCTACTTTAGCCAAAGGTGTCCACTTGGATTCAGGGTAATTCAGAAACGCCCCAACTTCCAAAACACATTTTCCACTAGGACTTTGGCTAATGGGTTTGCCAGCAAGGCTGGAGCTTCGTCTGCTTTTGGTCTCCAGCTTTAGCCAAAGCACTTCAAGCTTAACTGTGGAATCTAAGCTGACTTTCAGCTGGCGACTTTGACGCTGTGCTTAGTTGTATAAGGTTTTAACTGAAAGTCCTAGCTGAGGTCTAAGTCATAGCGCGAGAGTCCTTTGTGCGAGTCGAAGCAATCTCCGAGATATTCTATTATGCGGGCAAAAACCCTCAGATCTTAGACTAGCACAACAAACTCTTCGGCTACGACTTGAATCTAAATAAAGGCAGCTGCAACTACGACTAAGGAAGTTTCGACTCTAACTGCTGTCACAACGAAGGTCGCAAGCAAGTACTCTCGCGCTGTGAGCTGAAAATCATTTGAATTGTCTACCAGCTGGAATTTGAACTAAGCGCACTTCGACTTCAATTGTTTGCTTAACAAAGGTTGCGACTCTCAACCTGCTAAGAGCTTAAAAATTTTAACTCCAGCCCCAGACCGAGCTAAAGGATTCCCTTTGTGCTCAACTATGGACTTAAACTCCGTCCTGACTTCACAATTAACAACCATCAGACATCGCTTCGGATATTAGCTAAGTACTCTCGGACTTTGACTGCAACGGCTCCCACTCGCTCACAGATTAGCTGGCTGACTGACTGACTGACTGAGTGACTGACTGACTGAGTGAGTGAGTGACAGGCGCGCACTTTAGCTGCTGTCGACTGCTTGGCCCCGTCGTGCCTAACTCTCAGCTCATTTGCATGTGTCACATCAGCTTTGGTGACATCACAAAACAACTCATGACAACACACTCACACACACACACACACACACATGCACACACAGACACACACGCACAGCCACATGGCAAGTGTCGTGCCGCAGGTTGCGTGTATGGCAACAGCCTGAGGCAAGGCGTTGCCTCAATGCCTGCAGCCTTTGGCATAGGCGATTTTTCAATTAGCTGCCTGCCGCTGGCGGCTACAAATTTGCTGGGCTTTGGCCAAAGAGGCTGTCTGCATGTGTGTGTGTGTGTGCGTCTGTGTGTGACAGCTGTTTTAGCCTTTGGCGCAAAGCCCACATAATTAAAATACTTAAAGGCTTTAAGTTTTTCACTTTTTAAATTGTTGCAAGCCGAGTAAAAAGCCAGCCCAAAGGACGCACATGTGTAGAAATGTGTTTTATGTCCTGCCTGCGGGTAGGCCACGATTCACGATTGTGCGTATGCGTGTGTGTGCGCGTGTGTGTGAAACTCACGTCCACATTTAAGCTCACTTAAGCATTTTTGCGTGCTGGCTTCCTGCTCTGCCAAGTCCCATCCCTCCGCGAACGCACTGTGGGCATAAAGCATAAAATTATATTTTTGCATGTTATCGATTTGTGTTATCGATATTTGGATGTTTATGTTATCGATGCATTGAGAAACGTCTGGCACATTATTTGCTCGGCCTCTCGATTAGCTGACATTAGCTGAAGGCAATTCAAATAGAAAAGCTGCATTCGATAGCCGTTTCTTCTGATTGACTCACTGACTGATTGATTGATTGACTGATGATCAACGCACAGCTGCATTTTGGATTGCGATCTCTGCCGCAAGTGTGATGATGTACTTTCCAGCCGCAAATAGTGAAATATATGAATATTGTGCAGCATTTTTTGGCAAACTTCGCTCCACTGTGCGAAGTTCTGAAGTTCGCTGACAAGCTGACGCCCTGTCGATGTCGATGTCAATTTCAATCTCCGTTTTCGGTTAAGCAGGGCGGGCAACCATCTTTTAAAATGTTAATGATTCGAGCTTAATTGTGGGCGGGTTGTCGTTGGGCGCCCGCATTTAAGTATAACTCATACGCAACGTTGGCCAAAGCTGGGACCTGGCTGCTCGTCGATTTGGCCACGTTAATTGACACAGGCGGCCCACATAGATTTTCATAATTTTTGTTATGAGACAAACGCACACACACACACACGTGTCTCTGCGCTGTGTGTGTGTGAGGTCAGCTGGCCGCATATTTAATTACTTTTGTAGTTGGCCCCTGGCAGAACGGGTGCTTGTGTTCATGAGAACCGCTCTTTGACCCCGATATAACGATTTTGCTTTGTCATTTGGTCGTTTAATTATGTGCATGGAAATTTATGTGCGACTCCTTGACTTTAAATGAAGTGTAAGGACCCAAAATGAGTATGTGTGTGTGTGTGTGTGAGCCCCAAAAACGCAACCTCCACAGTTCCACAGTTCGACTGATGCCAAAATCCAATGCGCCGCCAGCTGTTTGAACCCGCCCCCTTCCCCCATTGCCTCGTTCCACACGCCCCTGCAGTTATTTATGGGCGGCGCGCCTGATAATCCTGTGAGCCTGCCCAAAAGGCTAGCAGCCTGATTAAATTTTGTATTAGCTCAATAAATTTGCAATGCCAAATGGCATAAAAAAGGGCCAAGGCAAGTTATAGAGGGGCAAGAAAAAAAGGAGAAGAAAAATAAAAGAAATGAAATAAATGCGCAGCGACACGCAAATGGACAACGTTTAACCCTCCCATCGCAGTCTGTTGTCATATTTCAGGGCACAGATTCCCCCAACTCACCCGTCTAGCCAAGTAGCTGGCCTACAGTCCTTGGTGCGGTCGAGCTAATTGATGGCGCTGGTAATTTGCCTGACCCACCCGGCGACAATGATGAGCTGAGAAGTGCGACACGCCTTTTACCTGCCTCCTTTCTTCCGC